CACTGAACAAGGAGTTGGGAAGAGATGCGCAGTAGCAGCCTGATATATAGTTATATTAGGGTTCTTTAGAGAAACAGAACCAATAGGAGATAGATGTAGATGATATAGATATAGATATATAGATAAATATAGATATATTTTTATATATGTATGTGTGTGCATGTATGGAATTGGCTTACATGATTATTGAGGCTGAGAAGTCCTGAGATCTGAGGTTCACAAGCTGGAGACCTAAGAGAGGCAATGGTGTAGTTCTAGTCCAGAGGCCAGCAGGCTCAAGATCCAGGAAAAGCAGGTATTCAGTTCAAGTCCAAAGGCAAAAACAAAACTATGTCCTAGCTCAAGGCAACCAAACACTTCTGCTCAGGGGAAGGTCAGCCTTTTTGTTCTATTCAGACCCCAACTGACTGGATGAGGCCCACCCACATCAGGAAAGGCAATCCGCTTTATTCAGTCTACTGATTCAAATGTTAATTTCATCCAAAACACCCTCGTAGACAACCCAAGAATAATGATCAACATAATGTCTAGGCACCCCATGGCCTAGTCAAGATGACATCACAAATAGTATTTTCACCATATAGACATGAATAACCTAAGAATCTAAACAATAGAAAAATTAAGTAAAATAATTAGGAAGTAATGTGTGTTGAGCATGTATTACCTTTGTTTTTTAATATAATTTAATTATAAGTTTATATAATTAAATTGTTGATGATGGCTGTGTTAATCAACTGACTTGCAAAGCACTTGAAAATTTAATAATCAGCTTTTACATCTGTTGGTACCAGCCAGCTGATTCAGCCTACCACTAAAATGAACAGAAGTGACACCCTAAGGAGCTGGAACATCAGCTGCTTGGCAGTAGAGACAGCACTCTAATTAGGAAGTCAGGGTACATTGGTGATGGTGACCACTGGGTAGGCATTTCAGAGTTAGGATAGCAATGTTTTCTCCCTCTGCCTCTTAAAGAGCTCACTCTGTCCTCCCTGCAGCTTCTGAAACAAGGAAGCAGGCTCTGCTATCTCTATGGCACCTTGGTAAAAATCAGAGAAAGACTCACTCTTTTGGTGGCAGATCCCCCTTACTAAGCTAGAACATATGGCAAAATAACAGAACCCAAACCCAGCCCTACTCCCCCTCTACTGGACAGTGTATGTATTGCCAGACTACCCCGCAGTACCTGTGGCTCTACATGGAATAGAGCTGTTTCCTGTAGTCTTGAGATAAATACCCCTTACCACTTTCTAACCAGAGACTGATTGGCCAGTGTGCACCTCCCTAGAGAGGACAATAGGCGAAGACTTCCTCTGGTGGCCCCAGGCTCAAGGACATGCAGTTATCTTCTAAAGTAGTGGTTCCCAGTCATGGCCTCACTTTGGATCACCTGAGGAGCTTTTATAACTCCCAATGACCATTTTACATGCCCGACTAGTTAAACCAGAGCTGTTGGGAGTGGGACGCAGCAATTAGTTTTCAAAGCTCCCCAATATGCAGCCAAGATTGAGAATCACTGTTAATGTAAGAACGTCCAAACCTGTAGAGAATTTTTATGAAAATTTTATTTGAGCCAAACAGAGGATATGCCTAGAAGCAAGATCTCAACAGACTGAGATAAATGCCTCCAAGAAATGAGTTTGTAGCTTCTTTTAAAGAGGGAACATAAGGAAGATGACATGAAGGTGGAAGAAAGCAAAGTGGGAACCGGATTGCAGGATAATTAACAAGATTATATGCTCTCTTGACAGAGTCGCCCTTTAGAAGAAGGGGTCTGAAAAGGGGCATTTCAAAGTTGTGTTAACCCAGATGCACTGAAACAATGGACAGAGCTGGCTTAAGGCAAAGATAAGCCTTTTACTAAAGAAGTTATACTCCTGGGGCGTGACTATGCCCCATGACCTGTCCAGTTAGGCATTTATGATCAGATCACCTTGTGAGGTTACTTTTTGTAGGATCCCTTTTTTGTCCGCACACTGATGTGAAATCATCCTGACTCTGAACCAACAATATAGGTGGGTGAACATCCCACCAAGATGTGTGTGTTTCGGCAGATGCCTTCTAGAGAGTTCTGCCCACCAATCTTCTCTACTCACCCTTCAGTGCCTAGCGGTGCCTGGCGCAGAGCAGCCCTTAGAAATTGCTGAAATGATGCAAGGCAAGAAACAGCGAGGGGCCCAGGACCACTGCCGGAAGGGGCAGTGCTGTGCAGCAGACACAGGACAGTGGGAAAGGAGGCCATCTCTCTGTCTCTACTGCTAAGTGACACCTTTATCTTCTCTCCGTGGCCTCAGTTTCCTGCCTTTAAGTGACAGGAGTGGGGCAATTCCTTCAAACAAATGCTTATGCAGGAGGCCATCATTTTAAACAGATTCTCTCACTCTGCTCTTGTCTCACCCCACCTGCCCTCCTGCCAGCCTCAGAGGGACCTGGAGAGCTCTCAGAGTCCTGCGGAGCAGGGTTTGTAAACTTCAGGAAGGAGGGGACTCTAATGGCCCTCCCAGCTGAGACCCCATGGATCCCCTCATGCAGAGAAGTACTAGGAACGTGGTCTGAGGGCAGAGAGAAGCAAAGAGCTTTTTTGCTCCCCATCCCCATCCCCCACCATTCTCGAGTGCAGTCTGAACTGGCTCCTGACCTTTTCCCAGCTTTACTTCTGGGTTTAAGCCCAGAGCCTCTGTGGTTTTGTCCAATTCCAATACTGATCCCCAGAAAAACAGGCGAAGTGACTTAATGTCATGGTGGGGGGGCGGGGGAGGGGGCGGACAGCTGCACAGAAAAAGCGCCTGAGGGAGGGGTAGAAGGGGTGATTTCTTAACCAAAATAAGTGTGAGTGGACCTAAACTAAATCTTCAGGGCATTTTCCTGCCTCTGGTTTGGAGGAAGTGGTCCAGGCTGCATTACTCATAGGACTTCATGATTGCTCAAGATCTTGTCAATGGCCACAGGACCTCACCTTGTGACCCTGATATCTATGTGAGATTTTCCAGCTCCAAATCCTCCCCACTCCTGTGCGGCCCCTGTTTCAGCCTGACCTAGCCTCAACCTGGCCCAAGAGGAAAGGAGCACAATTCTGTCATTCAGTGGTGTCTTGGATATACCCATCAAGTCAGTATTCCTCGTGAGGCTCCTGGCCTGAGTCTGGCCTGGGGCTCAGGGCTGGGAGTGCAGGAGGGGCATTGGGCAGTCTAAGGGATACAGATAAGAGCCCTGGGGAAGTGCTTAGTGGCTCTTTCTGGTGTCAGGATCAGCACAGTTTCACAGAGGACTGGCTTGGCATGATCAGGCTTATGTAGTTCCAACAGAGTGGAAAAGGGAATTTAATAGAGAGGGAAGTACACATGCAATGGCACAGGAACACAGGAATGGGGTCTGTGCGTGCATATATATAGTTGTATCTAGCATTAACAAGAATTAGCTCACAGAGGCAGACATGGACAGTAGCCTTGAATGTTATGTCAAGATACTTATTCAAACCTTCTGAGGAATGGCTGAGGGCCAGAATAAGTGACTTGATGCTGAGTAAGACAGCTTTGTCACCATGGACTCTCTCCCTTCAGCTTGGTCATTTTATCCACCACATCCTGGTGAGTCCTTAATCTCTCCAATCCTCCCTTGCTCTCCATTGTCCAGACCCTGTCATCTCTAGCAAGGACTGCTTCAGTGGGCTCCCAGTGGACCCCCAGCCTATGGAACCTCTTCCCCTCCAGCTGCTAGAATTCATTACACATCAATATGACATTCGGGGATCAGTGGACGTAGGAGCACTATGAGAATTAGGGAGGGATCATAGTTGTTAAAAGCAGAGAGATTTTTGTTCACACGTTTTGTCTTCCAACTAAGATGATCCCACAGGACCCAGGCACAAAATCCCAGCCCCAGGCGCAAATGCCTAACAGGGCACATAGGTGATTTTCAGAGGCACAAAGGTTGGTTCTCACCATCTGATGCATTCATTGAGGGCTCTCAAGCCAGGAACTGTTCGTGTGACGGTTGAAATTTGGGTATTTAGAAAGACGTCATGGAAGAGCATGAGCTGTAGACACAGAGCCTTGGCTTTAGATCCCCGCCTTGAAAATATTGTATGACTTTGGGCAAGTTATTTAACTTTTATGTGCATTATTTTCTTCCTCTGAAAAGCCATGACTCTGAAAAGCACTTGACTCCAGGAATTTGAGAATTAAATGAGATATTAAATATAAAGCACCAATCTCAACCCTGAACACATAGTAGGCACCTAATAAATGGTAACAATTACTGTGATTGCATTTCTGAGGCAATTTTTAGGATCTTGAGGCTAATCCCTGTAAAAGCTCAATTATACATTCACACTTTAGAATTATGCTAGTATGAAACAACTATGTCAAATAGCAGAGATTTACTACTCAGTGAACAGTTTTTGATTTTCTGTGTGCAGGCCCTGAACATTCTTATTCCTGTCACCTTATTAAAGCAGCAGAGAAAGTTAACATCCCTATCAAGCCTCTGTCTCCCTACTGATCCAGTCCCCTGAGGATCTGAAAACTGCGGAGGCTGTGCGGTCCTTCTAAAACACACCTGTCTTTCAACAGTTGGAATCGTGAGCTCATCAACTGCCTCTTGAGCCCTTCTGGAGGGAATATCAGGCAGAGCAGAAGTCCCATTGGACAGGCTCTGGAGGGGTGCTTTGCCTGGTGGAGTCTCGGCCCGCCTCTCACCAAGTGCGCTGTCTCCCCAGGGCCTTGACAAGGCAGATCCGCCACTGAAGTCCTTGCTTTCCCTGCAGCCTCGTGGCGTGTCCTGCGCACCCCGACGAGCCCTCCCCAAGCAGAGGGCGGATCCGAGCCCGGGAACCGCCCACCCTCCGCCCCACCCTCCTCGCAGACCTCCTGCCTGCTGCGGGTGTGGGAGGAGAGACCAGCATGTCCGCTGGACTCGGATAGGGGACTGACAGCACCACGTGCACTCTGACCCAGCAGAGGGACAGCCAGGCCGCCCCCCACCCTCCCACCCCCGGCCCAGTGATTGATCAGCAGCCGTTACTGAGACTCTTAATGGTTCGCTTGGATGGGAATTAATTCTGGAATGGATAAATAATGCATTGAGGTTTATGTAGTCCAAGGCAAGCCGGCGGTCCGGAGCCAGGACGGAGCCCAGGGAGCCTCGCGAGTGACGCCAGTGGCCATGGGAGCCCTTGCGGGGCATAAGGGGCAACTGATTGAGAAGAAGAAAAAAGGGAAGTGGATGACAGCATGATCGGCCCAGCAACACTGGTGGGGTGGCTGCAGGACCATGCTGAGCCCAAAGATCAGGCAAGCCAGGCGGGGTAAGTCCAACTTCGTAGGGAGAAACTGGGCATTGTGTGAGTAGGTCTCTTGGCCAATGTGTGTGTACACCTAGCCAGGTGCCATGCTGGGGTTTAGATGGGGCAGGACTGATGTCTCTTCCTAGTGAGGATTCTGGAGTCAGTAAGGTCATACCTGAAAGTACAAAGGGACGATGGCCATCTTTGGGCCCTAGGAGGTGTGCAGGCTTTATACCCCATAGTCTGTTTCTGGGTGGCTCAAAGTGACCAGGTGACAACTTTGGGGAAATTTTGTTCCTTTACTAAAAAGGAAATGCTCGATGCTCAAGATGTGTCTTAGCAGCCAAGATAAAAGTGTTCTTCACTAGGGAAGCAATGCCCTAGCTTCTGGAGACAGCTGGGTCCAAGTGAGGGTCCTCATTCCAGTGGCCCAGGTGGCTCTGCAGAGCCTACAGTAGCTGCCACCGCTGGGTACAGGCAGCTGGGAGGCAGGCAAAAGCTCCTCTAGAGAACTCCCAGGAAGCTGCCAGGCCTGGAGATGAGGATGCCTGTGGAGGGAGCAGATGCAGAGAAAGTAAGAGGTGAGACTCAGAGAGCCTTTGCAGGAGTGATCCTGCAGTACTGAGCTAGTGCCCTGGCCACCCTGTGTCCCTGCAGAGTGTCCTGGAGACTGAGGACAAGTCCCAGGGCTAGGGACAGCCTCTTTCTGGACAGCAACTTCTTTGCTAGAGCAAGTGTCATTTTAGATGAGAACATCTGTCTCTTAAGAAAATAGAATGTCTTTTCAGGTGGTTAGTGTCTGTGGAGGGCTGAGCTTCCTTGTGAGCAATGAGCATGAGAATGGTAGTTTGGAGGTGGGTGGAACATCTGCCTGGAGAGCTTGGAAACAGTGTGAGTCTCACCTAGAGGAGGACCCTCCAGCCTCCTGTAAACTCACAAGGAGCACACACATCTCATCAGCATGTCGCAGACACATGGATGACTTTGGAGGGGAAGTTGGCCCTCCAGAATGTGGTCAGAGCCATTAAGACTTCTGCTTGGGGTGCTTGGGATAGAATGTAACCTATGGGCACCAATGGACAAAAGAGGGCCATGCATGGCTCTGCTGAGGGGTTGGGGGGCAATGTGGTGACCACCCAAAGGGTGGGCCAGGCCAAGCTCTCTGAGAGAACTTAGGTCAATCCTCCCACTCCTGTCTAATACACTAGCCACTGGCCACATGTGGCTATTGAGCACTTGTTATGTGGCTAGTCTAAATTAAGAAAAATATACACTAGAGTTTGATGACTTGCAAAAAAAATGCAAACTATCTCATTAATAATTATGTTATATTGATTACATGCTAAAATGACAATATTTTGTATATATTGAGTTAAATCAAATATATTATTAAAATTTTTTCACCTGTTTTTTCTTTTACTTTCTTTTAATGTAGCTACTAGAACTACTTATGTGGCTAACATGATATTTCTATTGGACAGTGGCAATCTAGAAAGAGATCAGTGCTTCAGTGAAGGGCTCTCAGGATACTTGCCTTTGAAAACCCAAACTTCTTATAAGCAATTGTTCTAAGTCATTGGTTCTCAATCAGGAATGATTTGCCCTCAAGGGACATTAGGCATTGTCTGGAGACATTCTTGGTGATACTGGCATCTAGTTGGTAGAGGCCAGGGATGCTGCTAAACATCCCACAATGCAGAGGACAGCCCTACGACAAAGAATTATCCGGCCTAAAATGTCATGAATGCAAGTGTTGAGAAACCCTTCTACTAGATGATATTATCTTGTAAGATATGTTAAAAGATGAAGTTTATGGTACTATTCATCAGTAGTAATAATTATATATAATCACTTACCCACAAAAATGTATGATCGTAAACCATGACAAGAAGCATTCTAAGAGCATAGACTGCAAATGAATGACAAGAGGAAGTAAGTGGTTCTTGAGCTGTAAGCTGAAGGCAAAGCTTGGTGGAGGGACGAGTCCACCTTCCAGGCAAAGAACAGCATGTGCAAGTACCATTGGAAGAGAGGGGCACAGAAGGCTGGAGCTGGGGGAAGGAAAGGGCAGAGGACACAGCACGAGGCTGGAGAACAGATCAAGAGTTGGATCACACAGGGTCAGGTTTGCAGCTTGTTAGGAAATAACTCTACCTAGGGACATTTCAGAAGAAATACAACCTAAATTATATATATGTGCCTTAAAGAAATTAGGCTCTGGCAGAAAGAACTTTCATTAAAATTCATCCTCCATTGAATCTTTTAGAAATTGGTCAGGATATGTGTTTTAAATATAGCAAGTTATACTTTGCAAATTCCAGTATCCGTTATCCAGACACTGCCTTGTCTAGACTGTTCCAGACAATACATATTCAATATACATTTCCAGGCTACACCACTGTGTGGATACAGTTGCTTTCTTGGATAGTCTGGGCATTGTGTGAATAGGTCTCTTGGCCAATGTGTGTGTACACCTAGCCAGGTGCCATGCTGGGGTTTAGATGGGGCAGGACTGATGACTCTTCCTAGTGAGGATTCTGGAGTCCGTAAGGTCATACCTGAAAGTACAAAGGGACGATGGCCATCTTTGGGCCCTAGGAGGTGTGCAGGCTTTATACCCCATAGTCTGTTTCTGGGTGGCTCAAAGTGACCAGGTGACAACTTTGGGGAAATTTTGTTCCTTTACTAAAAAGGAAATGCTCGATGCTCAAGATGTGTCTTAGCAGCCAAGATAAAAGTGTTCTTCACTAGGGAAGCAATGCCCTAGCTTCTGGAGACAGCTGGGTCCAAGTGAGGGTCCTCATTCCAGTGGCCCAGGTGGCTCTGCAGAGCCTACAGTAGCTGCCACCGCTGGGTACAGGCAGCTGGGAGGCAGGCAAAAGCTCCTCTAGAGAACTCCCAGGAAGCTGCCAGGCCTGGAGATGAGGATGCCTGTGGAGGGAGCAGATGCAGAGAAAGTAAGAGGTGAGACTCAGAGAGCCTTTGCAGGAGTGATCCTGCAGTACTGAGCTAGTGCCCTGGCCACCCTGTGTCCCTGCAGAGTGTCCTGGAGACTGAGGACAAGTCCCAGGGCTAGGGACAGCCTCTTTCTGGACAGCAACTTCTTTGCTAGAGCAAGTGTCATTTTAGATGAGAACATCTGTCTCTTAAGAAAATAGAATGTCTTTTCAGGTGGTTAGTGTCTGTGGAGGGCTGAGCTTCCTTGTGAGCAATGAGCATGAGAATGGTAGTTTGGAGGTGGGTGGAACATCTGCCTGGAGAGCTTGGAAACAGTGTGAGTCTCACCTAGAGGAGGACCCTCCAGCCTCCTGTAAACTCACAAGGAGCACACACATCTCATCAGCATGTCGCAGACACATGGATGACTTTGGAGGGGAAGTTGGCCCTCCAGAATGTGGTCAGAGCCATTAGGACTTCTGCTTGGGGTGCTTGGGATAGAATGTAACCTATGGGCACCAATGGACAAAAGAGGGCCATGCATGGCTCTGCTGAGGGGTTGGGGGGCAATGTGGTGACCACCCAAAGGGTGGGCCAGGCCAAGCTCTCTGAGAGAACTTAGGTCAATCCTCCCACTCCTGTCTAATACACTAGCCACTGGCCACATGTGGCTATTGAGCACTTGTTATGTGGCTAGTCTAAATTAAGAAAAATATACACTAGAGTTTGATGACTTGCAAAAAAAATGCAAACTATCTCATTAATAATTATGTTATATTGATTACATGCTAAAATGACAATATTTTGTATATATTGAGTTAAATCAAATATATTATTAAAATTTTTTCACCTGTTTTTTCTTTTACTTTCTTTTAATGTAGCTACTAGAACTACTTATGTGGCTAACATGATATTTCTATTGGACAGTGGCAATCTAGAAAGAGATCAGTGCTTCAGTGAAGGGCTCTCAGGATACTTGCCTTTGAAAACCCAAACTTCTTATAAGCAATTGTTCTAAGTCATTGGTTCTCAATCAGGAATGATTTGCCCTCAAGGGACATTAGGCATTGTCTGGAGACATTCTTGGTGATACTGGCATCTAGTTGGTAGAGGCCAGGGATGCTGCTAAACATCCCACAATGCAGAGGACAGCCCTACGACAAAGAATTATCCGGCCTAAAATGTCATGAATGCAAGTGTTGAGAAACCCTTCTACTAGATGATATTATCTTGTAAGATATGTTAAAAGATGAAGTTTATGGTACTATTCATCAGATAGTAATAATATATATAATCACTTACCCACAAAAATGTATGATCGTAAACCATGACAAGAAGCATTCTAAGAGCATAGACTGCAAATGAATGACAAGAGGAAGTAAGTGGTTCTTGAGCTGTAAGCTGAAGGCAAAGCTTGGTGGAGGGACGAGTCCACCTTCCAGGCAAAGAACAGCATGTGCAAGTACCATTGGAAGAGAGGGGCACAGAAGGCTGGAGCTGGGGGCAGGAAAGGGCAGAGGACACAGCACGAGGCTGGAGAACAGATCAAGAGTTGGATCACACAGGGTCAGGTTTGCAGCTTGTTAGGAAATAACTCTACCTAGGGACATTTCAGAAGAAATACAACCTAAATTATATATATGTGCCTTAAAGAAATTAGGCTCTGGCAGAAAGAACTTTCATTAAAATTCATCCTCCATTGAATCTTTTAGAAATTGGTCAGGATATGTGTTTTAAATATAGCAAGTTATACTTTGCAAATTCCAGTATCCGTTATCCAGACACTGCCTTGTCTAGACTGTTCCAGACAATACATATTCAATATACATTTCCAGGCTACACCACTGTGTGGATACAGTTGCTTTCTTGGGTAGTTAATGAAATCTGCCCCAGTCAGCCAGCTCAGAAGCCTCTGTGGTCTGGCCAAAAGGCCACTCTGCAGATAGGGCTTCCCAGGGACCCTTTCCCAGGTCATGTTAGCTGTTAGCTTCCTGGCAGGTCCCCATTCAGCCCTGAGCACACAATGGCTGCCATCACTCTAAAAGCCATCCTTGTGTCTCCTTCCCATGGAGGGGGAGATACCA